TACGGAAAACACGTTATAAAAGCTTTCAAAGAATCGTTCTCAAAACTAAATCAAACCGTTCTGTGGAAATTCGATGATGATGGTGATCTTTCTAAAAATATTATTACTCGAAAATGGTTCCCTCAAAGCGATATTTTGGCACATCCAAACACGAAACTTTTTATAACTCATTGTGGTGGACTAAGTATGCAAGAAAGTATAATTAGGGGTGTTCCAGTTATCGGAATACCGTTATTTTCTGATCAATTTAACCGAGCCGGAAAGTATCAATCAATTAATGGAGGTGTAATTCTAAAATATTCGGAATTAACGACCGATAAAGTTTATAATTCGATTGTGGAAGTTTTATCTAATCCTGTGTAAGTTATTTTTTTTTGAATAAAAATATTTATTAGATCACTTTTTGTAGGTATAAAAACAATATGAAACGATTTTCCATGTTGTATAATGAACAACCGGAAAAACCAATGGAAACATTTTTGGTTTGGATCGATTATATTCTTAATAATGGTCATTTAAAACATCTATCTCTTGCAAGTAGAGAAATGAGATGGTATCAAGTAAAAAATTGGGATATTTTTGGGTTTATTATTGGTGTATGTTTATTTTTGTATGTTTTATTAAAAAAAATATCCTGTGTAATATTAAAAATGTGCAAAACAGATCGAAAGGAGAAAATAAATTGATCTGAATTTGAAAGAATTTTTAAAATTTAGCCTTAGTTTGTAATAATGTGATACATGGCTCATGAAGTTTTATTACGTTTTATAAAGGAATAAGGGAGAAATCAACGAAAAAAGAATTAAATTTTGAAGGTTAATTCCGAGAAAAATCAAGAGATGACGCTAGTTTCGAAGCAAGAATTTTAAATTTTGAAAAGGGCGCGAAGCTATGAGCCAATCAGAAACGAGGAAAAAACAGTTGGAGTGCCGGGGTATACAGTGTGTCCGTAAAGTAACGGATATAGGCGATAAAATCATAATAAACGATTTATGGAAAAATCCCTGAAACGGGTCTAAAGATTTAAATTTTTTTCAATCTTTTAGTGTAGGTTTCAAATTTTTTCCGACATTTTTAAACCAGTTATGACGTCATCGATATTTTTTTCAAATGGCAATCCCCCATTTTTATTACGGAATATGAAAGAGGATTTTTTTCTAAATCTAGTGCAGTCCATATTAATATTGGTTACATAAGATAATTTTCGAGAAAAATTACTTTAAAGTTTAATTACTTTAAATTTGAATAATGATAAAAATAGCAGTAGCCATGAGTAACTATAGTAACCAATTATTTTAAACAATTCTCTGAGGGTCAAAAACTGATTTAATAAAGCTTCTTGAAGTGTGGTGGCGCGCCATCTTGTTGGAATAACTGCCGTTGGAATTGAGTTGGATCAACATTATCGGGATGGAAGGAATGACATCGTTTTGAAAAAATTTAAACATCTCTTTCCAGTTTAGGTTTCCTCAAATCTTTTGCGGATATTGGGTGTGCGACTTTGTTGGCTAATTTGGATTTTGGGTAGCGCAATACCGACAACTTTTTTTATTTACTTGTCCACTCAATGTAAATGTCCCTTCGTCGGAAAAAATTATGTTTTTGACAAAGTCTGCGTCATCGTTGCAAAATTGTTGTTACAAACTTCGATTCATTGCTCGTGAATGAGGTTTACTTTATGGGAATGATATTTTGTGGGTTTTACAATTTTGTGAACCGTTGATTTACTCCTAATTGATAATCTCCAAATTAGACTCAATACTCCTTACAGTAACATGAGGGTTTTCTTGGCTAGCTAAAACCACGGTTTATTGAACTTCTGAAACATTTAGTACGCCAGATTTCGAGAAATGCTTCGAGAGATGCCCATCCTTTTTAAATTTAGTCACAGCTAGGCTCACCATACTTTGACCAATGAGTTGGCGATCAGGATATGTTGTATTAAAGAGGTCAACTACTTACTAAATCAGTTTTTGACACTTAGGAAATTGTTTAAAATAATTGGTTACCATAGTTACTCATGCTTACTGCTATTTTCACCATGTCAACAAATCTGAAGTAATTAAACTTTAAATTAATTTTTCTCGAAAATTTTCTTATGTAACCAATATTAATATTGACTGTACTAGATTCAGAAAAACATCCCCTTTCATATTCCGTAATAAAAATGGGAGATTCCCATTTGAAAAAAATATCGATGACGTCATAACTCGTTTAAAAATGGCGGAAGAAATTTAAAATGTGCACCAAACAATTGCAAAAAATTTAAATCTTTAGACCCGTTTCAGGGATTTTTCCATAAACCGTTTATAATGATTTTATCGCCTATATCCGTTACTTTACGGACACACTGTATAAGGAGATCGCGAACAGAACACGAGAGAGTCGTGACCAGCGTCGAATCCACGTCGTCAGATAGCAGAAATTTTGAATTTTAAGAGATAACCTAAAAATTTTAAGATAATTTTTAAAGTCAAATCAACTTATGATATTAAAATAAAAAGAGAATTATCCTACAACCTATTCCGAGAACTCCTGATACTTCTTCGAGATCATCCAAGACCCTATTTCCGAAGAACAAGCAGTTCAAAATTCCGGTAGGAAGAATCCTGTAGAAAACCCAGAAACTAGATCGTACTTCGAATACAAGAGGACAATCCATAATCCAGATACTACATTGAACTCCAATCCTTTCTATTTCGCAGTGAGTCGGATGATAATTTTATTTTCTTATTTAACATAACCTACAAAAAGAAAAAAATCAAAGAATCAAACTCAAAGAACAAATCACAAGAGTTTCATATAAATTTGATCAATACTTACTTGTGGGTAAAGATTTATTAGTTTTCTTGAATAACGTTCATTTATTTAACACTACTTTCATTTAACGAGTTTGATGACAATTTAAGACGTCGGCCATTTTGTTATTTTCTAAGAACGGTTCTAACGAGTTTTATCCTACTCTCTCTCTCTCTCAAATAATAAACGAGTTCTCTCTAATATCGATATTTCAGTCGATAACCGCAGTTATCTATTTTATTTAAAAGTTATCTCTCGTAAATAAGCATTGTTATTAAAGTAAATTTAGGAAAACAATTTTATTTTTTTTTTGTTACTCATAAAACAAGTTAATTTTATTTTGTGTTTAATTAAATGAATTTTTTGTCGAACCTGATTAGTTTCTTTTGAACCCGAACAAATTTAAAGAAACCCAAATTTATAGTTAAATTATTTAAATTGTGTAAACACTCACACACAAGAAAAACAATACAATATCTTATATTTTGAACAATTATCGGCTTGTTAGTAATAAAATTTATTTTCCCAGTCATGATTAGGCTTCTGCACAACTTTTTCGCGCATTCAAACATCACGTGATCCCCACTCTCAGACCCCTTGCTCCGCAGAACAGCTGTGATCTCAGTTATTTGACAATATTGAAGTACATACACGTAAATCTGGATAAGTTGTCATGTGTTAATATTTCATTTCAATTACTGAATGTCCATTCTAATATATTTGTCTTGTCTTTTAAAACATGAGTTCGTCACGAAGAAAGTGTAAATTTAGTAGTAATTTATTTTGTTATATTTGCGGTGTTTACATAACAAAAAAACCAAAAAAGAAATATCACAGACTTTGTCGAGGAGACTTATGCTGAATATTTCGGTTTCAAAATGGACAAACTAGATAAATCATGGGTTCCTCATAAAGTTTGTAAGCCCTGTGTTGAGTCTTTACGGTCGTGGAAAAAAGGACAACGTTCTGGATTAGACTTTGGTATTCCTATGATCTGGATGGAGCCTAAGAATCAATTCGATGATTGTTACTTTTGCGTAGTAGATGTTAAAGGTTTTAATCGAAATCAAACGTGGAGATATCCAGACTTACAGTCTACAAAATCGCCTGTTCTACACAGTGAAAATCTCCCTCGGCCTATTTACGTTTCAAAAGTAATTCGCATGCCCTCAGAAACAATGATGTTGCCAAATTCACAGAAATCGGGACAGTCTACCAGTGGAAGAGAATGGAAGGGTGAACCATCTACTCCGAAGTTACTTTCTCAAAATGAACTCAGTGATTTAATACGTGATCTCAATTTATCATAACAAGGATCAGAACTATTGGCCTAACAAAAAAAAATTATTGGCTCCAACAGTAACAATTACAACATACAGAACGCGAGAAAGTGAGTTATTACAATTTTTTAGTGAAAATGAAGGACTGGTGTACTATAATGATATCGCGAAACTGCTTCTAGACATGGGTTTAAAACAGCGATGCACAGACTTATTAAGACTAGGGGCCACTCAGGCAAATCATGAACTGATGGCGGGCCGCCAGAAGTATAGGTAATTAAAGACAATAAAGAATTGATAATAATGTATTAAAATTGAAAAAGAATTTATTAATTTGAAGCGTGGCACTGCATAGTGCTTACAATCTTTTTTATATTTGGCTCAAATTTACTTGTAGCAACACGTAAAACTGCTTCTAAACTATCATTTGCAAGGCGGTTTGGATTTTTTGTTTTATTATTATTTAGTATAGTAAAAGTTTGTTCACATATATAGGTAGAACCAAATAAGCTGGCACATTTCAGAGCGTTTATGCGCAACTCTTTGTACTTATTTTTATCAATGCAGCGGTAAAAGTTCTGCAAGTCTCCTTCGTTAAATTTGTTGCGTAAATCTTGGTCGTTTGGAATGTCGATAATTTCTAACTGCATTGACTCTGGCGCATTTTCAACTGAAATCGTGAAAGGATTGCTGAATATGTCCAACAGAGGTTTCACTTTTTAAACTCCGAAAATCTGTCTTGAAAAGATTGAATCAAAATATCTAGCTTTTCTACATAACTGAAATTAATCGCAGTTTTGTTGAATTTTTTAGCCATTTTCTTATAATACGGAAAATGATTGTAATTTCCAGAATTCAATTGCAATCTGAAAAGTGTCAGCTTGCTTTGAAAGGATGATACATGAGCGTAGAGCTGGGATGTCAGTTGATTTTGCCTTGAAGCCGTGTGTTCAAGACATTCAAATGATTTGTAATGTCAACTAAAAAAGCCAAATCACACAACCAATCAGGATTTTTAAGTTCCGGGACATCCTTTTGCTTTTCCGCCAGAAATATTCCAATTTCTTCTATTAAATTTAGAAATCGTTCCAGTCCACGACTTAGCCACCTTACTTCTGTATAATACAGTAAATCTCCATATTCGCTTTCGATGTCATCAAGGAATTGTTTGAATTGCCTGTGATTGAGTCCTCGTGATTTTATGAAATTTACAGTCGAAACTACCACTTTCATGACATTTTGAAATTCAATTTTTTTAGAACAGAGGGCTTCTTGGTGTATAATGCAGTGAAACTGCATGAGATCTTCAGCGTTTATGTTTTTTTCTTGCAGATGCCTTTTCAGCAAAGTAACTAGCCCGGAATTGACACCAATCATCGAAGGAGCACCGTCAGTCGCAACTCCCGATAATTTTGATAAGTCCAAATCAGTTTTTGAACACTCATCCAAAAGTACATTGAGTATATCAACTCCTTTGGTTAGACCTTTCAATGAACACATTCCTAATAACTCTTCTAAGACTTCAAAATCTTGAGTAACACCTCGTATGAATATGAGAAGTTGAACTGTGGAACTAATATAAGTGGATTCGTCGAGTGCTAATGAAAAAAATTCAATGATCTTAGTTTTTTCAGTTAATTGTTCCGCAATATTACCTGACAAAGACATAATTCGTCTTTGGATAGTCATACGATTCAGTTGAATTTTCTCAAACTTTTTTGCTGCTTCTGGACACATTTTCTTAGCGGCAATTTCTATGCATTCTTTTACAAAATCCCCATCATTGAAGGAGCGACTTCGCTTTGCTATCATTCGAGAAATTTCATAACTAACTTCTGTAGCTGTTTCTGAATCTTGAATGGGTTTTCTAAACATAGCTTGCTGACCAATAAGCTCCCGTTTTAGAGACAACATTTTTTGCTTTCTTAATTCGCCTGTAAACTTGGTAAAAGTAGGATGCTGCGTTTCATAGTGCCTTTTTACATTATATTCCTTTGCAATCGCAACAGAATTCTTGCAAATTAAACAAACGACTTTGTTATGCGACCATACGAAAAAGTATTTCTCAGTCCAAATTTCTTGAAACTGGCGATTTTCATCTTTAACCTTACATTTTTTACTAGGTCCTGGCTTGTCCATGTTGTGTTCTAATCCTGGCTAGGATTAACACAGCACCTAAAAACAATTACAGTACCTACTTAAATTACCCATCCTTTTTTAAATTACCAAAAATAATTACCTTTAAATAGGTAGGGAAACACTTATTAATAACAGAGTTTTACTTACGATTTCACAACACAATTATACACGGCACTTGGTGGGTTAACACTGCAACAGGTAATCTACGTTGAATGTGGATCAAAATATATGACACCGGCTAGGCGAGTTAAAATCTACACTAGAACTATTGCCTTCCAAAAACACTATTAAACTGCACTTATTCTCAATCACTTGTAACTTCGCTTTGTATTTTCGCGCTTATTTCTTTCTGTTGACACTTCACTCAAATTTAAACCGAACTGTCGGTCGCTGCGGTTAGCGTGGCTTTTATACCGTGCGTATAGAGTCGAAAACTGTCTGGAGAAATCTCGAAACCGACTCTGGAAGCTTCGTGTATCTACGCGAGCAATCGGGAATTCGGAACTATTGCTATCGACTTAAGTCGATGTTACTTGACTTAGTATTTTTGGGCGCTTGAGGCGGCGCGGCCGCGGCGTTGTTTAATTCATGAACTGGCGCGGTATTTGAATGATTTGCGGGCCGCTGTCTGTGCATCTCTGGTTTAAAAGAATACAAACCTACTGAGTGGCGCCTTTTTATTGACAGTTATAAAAGAAGTTTAAAATGCGTCTTACTGCACAATGGAAATAAATTTGCATCAATTCCAATTGCCCATTCAACAAAACTCAAAGAAGAATATGAAAATGTAAAATTAGTTTTAGAAAAAATTAATTACTCGGAGCATCAATGGCCGATCTGTGTGGATTTGAAAATGGTTAACTTTTTACTTGGTCAACAAAGTGGATACACGAAATACCCTTGCTTCATTTGTATGTGGGACAGTAGAGCAAAGAAACTTCATTGGGAACACGATGTTTGGCCTGTAAGAGTTTCTTTAACTGTCGGTAAAGCCAATGTAATAAGGGAGCCGTTGATGAGCAGAGACAAAATCATACTTCTACCATTACATATTAAGTTACGAATAATAAAGCAATTTGTAAAAGCGTTGGACAAGGAGACAAGGAGATTGTTTTAATTACATTTGTAGAAAATTTCCGAAGCTTAGTATGGAAAAGTTGAAAGGTGGAATATTTGATGGTCCTCAAATGCGGCAAATTGATGAAAGATACAGATTTTATTAAAGTTATCACTGTTCCGGAAAGTAAAGCTTGGAAAATTTTTGTGTTGGTAGTCGAAAATTAAGTTGGTAACCATAAAGCACCAAATTATGAAGAAATTGTACAAAATATGTTAACAAACTTTCAGACTCTAGGAGCAAATATGAGTATCAAGTTACACTATCTCCGCAATCATCTGGATAAATTTCCGGATAAGTTAGGGAATTATAGTGAGGAACAGGAAGAGCGGTTCCACCAGGATCTAAAAGTGATGGAGGAAAGGTATCCGGGACGATGGGATTGTCACGTGATGGCAGATTACTGCTGGTCTTTAAAAAGAGATTGTCCTCTGAAAAATTATAAAAGAAAAGCTCATAAAAAGTGTTTTATGGAAATATAACATATGTTTTCGACATTTTCCTCTCTATTTACTTCGATGTATCCGATGTATCCGATTATTCTATGTATTGGTCTTATATAAAACGGCGTAGGGGGGCCCGCGGTGTGCCCACCCATCTTGAGCTCAATGGCGTGACGCTGATTATTTTGCTTCCGTATTTACTCCTGTAACGCCTTAACGACAAAAAAAAAGCTATTCACAACACAAAACCGATTACAAAATTCCACGGCGCAAATACGGGTCCTCGCCTAGCTCAGTGAAGATGGGGAGGGTTTCATTTCTAAGGCGCCACACAGTTACTCCCGTACGGCCCACGAACTGTGACGTGATGTTAAGAAAATAGGAAAATTGTAAACGAACACACAGATAACAAACAATGAAAGATGAAATTTGAGTTGCATAAAAAAAAAATAATAATGTTTATTAAAAAAAAACTCCCGTAAAACAAAAACAGTTAAGTAAAAAAAAAATAATAAATAATAATAATAACAAACGAATGTAAAACAAAAATTAATATGATTTAACGAAAACAAATTCTTTTAAAGTTTAAATTATATCAACAAAAGAAAACCAAATATTGATGTTAGCGATAATTAGACTTAAAAAAAATAAAAAATAAAACAAATTCTAACTGAAAATGAGCACGCGTTAAGACTCCGTAGGGCTGAGCTCAACCTAAAGCCTCAAAGACTAAATAAATCGCAATAAGAAAAAAAAAATAAAAAAAAAACTCGCCAACAAGAATTTACAGAAAATAAAATTTTTCGAATTAACTAAATTAAATGAAAATTACTTAATAAAAATTAAAAGAAAATACTCGAAGATCCTCACAGAATAAAGTTGGTTTTATCTGACCTTTCTTTTAGTCCGTTGGAGTTACGGAGTTGATACCAAGTTGATTCTTCTTCAGCAACACTTCTGGTAGGATTGGGAAAGTAAGTTATTTGGTCGGGTCTTCCCAATGGGGTTGATGTTATTAACCTCAACAAGAAAGTCCTCTCGGAAAGAAGTCTGCGCCAAAAGTAAGGTTTCCGAACAGATTTTAGACCAAAAATGTTTTCCCCCAGGAATAAAGTAATTAAAATTGCTCTCCGTAATAAAAAAACCTCAGATGGTCGAGGTTTTAAACCAGATAAATGTAGAAAATAAGAAATACGCTTAAATCCGGATAATCCGTATAAGTGAGGAAAAGAAAATCACTTTTCCCACAAGTATACTTAAGTGATGAATCCCAAATTGATGGATAGGAAATAATCGCACTCAAAATCCAAAGATGGCCAAAAGAACCACAATTCCAAATCACTAAAGTAATGCGTACTCGAAAACTGGTTGATAAAAGAGACAGGAAACAGTTTTGAAAAGTCTTTTATAGAAAAATGAAATACAAAAAACCACACCTGCGCGAAAACAAAATTTCGCAGCACCCTCTCATAAAGAGAAGAGAAAAATAAGAAAATTATAGGACGTTTTAGAAAATAAGGAAATGGAAAAGGAAAATTTTGGGAAATCCAGAAAATGTTGCTGAAAGAAAATGTAATGATTAAACAAAAGTATAATCATTAAAATCATTAAAAAAAATAAACAAGAAAAATTAAATTAACTACGAATTTATGCAACTCAAAATACTCTAAGATAAGACAAGTCACAAACATTAAACAAATAAAACATACATAAATTTTTGGAATGTAACACTCCACCTGGGCCTACGGTGAATGTACCTCGCATCTCCGACCATAGTACTAACACGGGGGTTGTCATTGGAGCCCTTACCGGAGCTGAGGTTGAGCTTGAGCTTACGGGGATGGCACCCAGCAAGGGTCCTGGATCAGATGGTATTCCTTCAGTCCTTATTATTAACTGTGCTGCTGCTCTTTCCATTCCCCTTATGAAAATTTTTAATTTGTCCATCACCACTGAAGTCTACAAATCTGGTGACCGACACCTGGCCAGCAACTACCGTCCAATTTCTATTTTGCCCTTATTTGGAAAGGTATTTGAAAGGTTAATGTACTCGAGACTATTTTTTCAGTTGAAAAATACTATTAATGTCAATCAACACGGTTTTTATCCTGGCCGCTCGGTCGAGACGAACATGCTCGAGTATGTTGACTTTCTCTACTCTTCCCTGGACAACAACATACAAGTAGACGCAGTATACACCGACTTTAGCAAAGCGTTTGACAAGGTAGATTATAATTTGTTATGCGGTTAGTTGTTGTATCGCGCTGGTGTTACTGGGTATTTGCTGAACTGGTTTACCTCTTACGTCTCGGGACGGACTCTTGTCGTGCGGTTTGGTGGATTTTGTTCACGTGCCTTGTCAATCTCTTCTGGTGTACCTCAGGGCAGCCACCTGAGACCTCTGTTATTCCTTCTTTACATTAACGACATCTTTGGCTCCTTTTCCCATTGTCGCTGTCTCATGTATGCTGACGATCTTAAATTGTTTCTCTCTATTTATAATGTAAACGATTGCGCCAAATTGCAGAGTGACCTTGACGATCTATACAAATTCTGTTCTGATAACTGTCTTGTTTTAAATTTCTCTAAGTGTGTAACTATAACGTTTACCAAAAAACAGAATCATATCTCTTATAACCAGAGCCCGGACAGTTTAGGAAAATGATCCTAAAACGTCGCCCACTCCAGTGTCAAAATTAAATGACGTAAATCGAAGCATGCGAAGCTGTCGGATACGTCATACCTTATCTCACGAAATAAATTATAAATTAATTTGTTAATTATAAATTTAATAAAACCAAAAATGAATAATTCATTTCGTATTTTTATATTTTTTTGTATTAATTAATTGATGTTGCACAGCAAGTTCTTCGCTAAGGTACGCTCATCGCTCTTCGAAATTCAATTTTGAAGAGTGACTTTAGTAGCGATCAAAAGGTGTCAAAAGCGACAACAACGTACGTCGTTGTCAAGGCATTCATTTCGTGTGGAGGGCGCACTTTTCCTAAACTCTCCGGGCTCTGCTTATAACCATACACTTGGCAATAACGTACTAAATAGGAACTCATCTGTTCGAGATCTTGGTATCATCCTTGATCAAAAGCTATCTTTTGGTCTTCATATTGATGGAGTTGTGAACAAGGCATATAGAACGCTTGGTTTTGTAATGCGGTCTTGTGAGGATTTTACAAATCCGTATGCGATCATCAGTATTTATAATGCTTTTATTAATAGTATCTTGAACTTTGGTAGTTGTGTCTGGAATCCCCAGTATTCTTGCTATATCGACACACTCGAGAGGATTCAGATGAAATTCTTAAAGTTTCTCTTTTATAAATCGCATCATGTTTATGAAGCCTACAACACTGCATGTGGAAAGTATCGTTTACTCACCCTCCGTCAGCGGAGACTACTTGCGGATGCCATGTTCTTGTATAGAT